AGTTTTATAACAATATAAAGACCTTTAAGCTTCGTTATTATAGTATGTCACCTCTAAGCAAACTCTTTTAAAACTGGAATTATTTTGGTAAATGTAACACCATTTTCTGAAAAAGTACTTTAAACTGTATAAATAATACCAAATTTAATTGATCTGCAATAGCCAATCATAGGAAAGTCTGCCTATGAATGTAGTACTAACAACCTCAATAGGACTGGTTACATGGTTAGAAGTTTATTTAATGATTTGAATAGAGCTTGATGCCTTGTCAGTAGTCTTGGACGAACTTTGCTCCTCTTCACAAATAATCCAAGTTGGTTCATATAAATTTTATTAGTATCCTTACTCACTGGAGTTGCATTTTCTAAGTATACTTGTTTAGTAGCAGTGTCTTTCACAGTCGAGGTTGTAGGTTTGTCCATTTTCTTAAAGAGATCTTGAGTTATTAGAGTTTCAATCTCTCTGCCTTTACAATTCCAATTTGAACATGATAGCTTAGCTCTTATTTTCGCTACATTTAAGAGAAACCTTTAAGACACTTTTGGTGATAAAGGATAAAGACAACCACAGGTGGCTATAATAAATTCTTTGATTGGCTTATCTGGATGTAAGATGAACTTTCATTTACATAAAATGCATGGTTTCATCTTTAGAATATGAATTCAGTCTAACAAATGAGACTATTTGTGCTAAGTAAATTTAGCGCTAAAGCAATAATTTAAAATTTGTTTATATCACTCGCCTTTCGGTACTTTGAGTAAAGGTGATTATGATATCCTTCATATTGATATCCTCAGCAGTTATTGCTTTCATATTAACTGAGCTCTTTTAGTTCTCCATACCTGCCTACTTATCACTCTCGTGATCAGAAAAAAGCTATCTTATTAGCTAAAGCTGAAAATGGGTTTTTATATCACTTATAAATTTTGTAGGAGAAAACATTCTTCAGATTTTTGCCAGCAATTACGCACTGCATTTCGTCATTCATTAACCCTTTGCAAATCGATAAAAATGATGAAGATGAGCATATACATTTCCAAATCTCATATGTGAAATAATAATTGCTAGAAAAATAGCTATATCCTAATATTATTTTGTCAGTATGATAGTAGCGTGCCTAGAGACATGACGTAAAAAATAAATGCAAATCAACTTAGAAAAAATTAATGCAAAATATATATATGCTAATCTTATGTTACACAGCTCCTATCCTTTGGTAAGAATTTTACTAAATATCTTCTGCGCATTTCAGGGTCAAAAGCGTTATGCATAATCAGTCTCATATGGCGCCTATTCTATATTAATATTCATGCCTAAGCAAAGATTTCTATAAATTGAGTATGGACTTTTTCCTATTCTTTCATAAGATTATCTAACCATGCAGTGCTTGAACAATACTTTAGAATATCGCAATGCAATAGCTTTTCACTGATCATCTTTTCACGATCTATTAGAAATTTATGATATTTCCTAAGATCTTCCTTTCTCTCTATTGCTACATAATAAAATTCTATATCAACCTCCAAGATACCGTAAAAGAATTCGCTAGCCTATCTTTCTTATCAGCCTCTGTAATGATCAAAAATTTCTTAGAATTGAAGCTATGCTTAACGGCATATTGGTAAAAACATTTTATTTTATTTAGATTAGTCCTAGAAATCAGCGTTCGAAAAGATGCAGATAGTACACTTACTTTAGATGTGGCTGATGAAACTATTTCTGGTGAATCATTTATCTTGATTTCTTTTTCATTAGATAAAGATTAGCACTTAATGTAATAAAACCCTTTATGCCTTGACCAACTACCTTTCCTTTATCATGCTCTTTTTCATATCCAGGACATAAGCCTAAACTCTTAAATTCAAATCTATCATTACATTCATTACTATGATATAATGATAGCTAGAGATATTCTTTCAAAGCCACATTGATATAGGAAGCACAAGCATTATATAGAATGACTGGCGAATTATCTAAACTGATTTTAGAGGAATCACCTGAAGAATTGCCATTAAGACACTTCGCAGAGTTATAAAATAAAGGAATAGATGGTACTTTGGTTTTCAATTTTTTTAGGGCAAGCTCATTAGGAACTTTTTGTATATCACGTATACATGAACAATTATTCACGCTGATTACTTTTGCCAAGAAAAATTTTTTATTAATATATATGAAAAATAAATACAAAGTTCAGGATAGGTGGGTAACCCATTACGTAGCTTAAAATACATATTACTTTTTGATAATTTTTTTGATCCTAGCCCTCTTACTATCAGAAGAACTATCTACATTAACTCTATCTTTTAATAAACTTATAATAATGCTAATTACCCTTTTTACATTACTACAAAATAATTCTGGACTATCTTTGATGGTAGATTTCATAAGGTTAATCTAGTACTCACTACCACTTGTATAATAAATACCATCTGGAGTGTATATAATAAAGTGTCACTCTGTATCTGTAATCACAATACTATAGATATAGTCAAAATAGTCATTCCTAAATGTTTGATCTGCAGTTCATTTTTTTACTAGTTTGAAATGCACTTTCAAGTTGTATCAGATTCTAAGAAATAGACCATCATTAATGTCTCTAATACGTTAAAAAGTAAAAATGTAGATACTAGGTCCACCTGCACATATCTATTCTTTATATTATGTGATTTTTCTTTAGTAATATAGAAGAGATTCTCTAGGCTTTTGATTACGTAATCTACTCAGCCTATTGCATTCTTACCAGAAACATCCTTTTGAAATATTATAAATATATCTTAGGAGGTAAGTTTTTAGCTATAGCGATAGATACATAGAGAATCGATGAAATAAATTTACAGCGTGTTACTTCATTAGCATTGATCATGATTTTCACATTTGAAAGTTTTAAGATTATATCCTTTATACAGTGCTTAAGCACCTTATCATTATCACTAATCTCCTCAAAGACTGTAAAGAAAAAATAAGCAGTTATTACTAATGCTCTGAACGGTTCAGTTCAGTCTGGATTATAAATCAATTTAAAACTGAACTGAACTGTAAACTGGTAAAAATCTGAACTGAATTAAAAATTTCAGATTAATCTGAAATTTCAGATCATTTGGAATGATAATTTCATCATTCTAATTGAACGATTCTTTTATCGTTCTTTTGGAACGATAATTTAATCATTCTTTTAAAATGATAATTTAATCATTTCAATTGAATGATTTTTTTATCGTTCGTTTGAAATAATAACTTCAATCATTTTAAATGAATGATTCTTTTATTGTTCTTTTGGAACAATAATTTAATCATTTCAATTGAATGATTTTCTTATCATTCATTTAAAACGATAACTTCAATCGTTTCAAATGAATGATTTTTTATTATTCTTTTGGAATGATTCTTTTATCGTTTATTTAGAATGATAATTTAATCGTTTCAATTGAATGATTCTTTTATCGTTCGTTTGAAACGATAACTTCAATCATTCTAAATGAATGATTCTTTTATCATTCTTTTGGAATAATTTTCTTATCATTCGTTTAAAATGATAACTTCGATCATTCTAAATGAATGATTCTTTTATCATTCTTTTAGAATGATAATTTAATCGTTCCAATTGAATGATTCTTTTATTGTTCATTTGGAACAATAACTTCAATCATTTCAAAAGAATGATAAATTTAATCATTCCAAAAGAATGATAAATTTAATCATTCTAAATGATCCAAAATTTTGGATTAATCTGAAATTTTCAATTCAGTTCAGATTTTTTATAGTTCTGATTAGATTTATAATCCAAAAAAAATCTGAACTGAACTGAAAATTTTCAGATTAATCTAAACTGTTCAAAGCTTTAGTTATTACTATATTTATAATGAACCATTCTAAAGCAGGTGTAAAATAAAATAATCACTTACTGGGAGTAAATTACTTAATGCTTATTATATCTTCTCTATTGACCTTATTTTTATACAATATCTCCTTCAAGTCGTCAAGAGTTTTAAGTAAAGAATAATTATATAATTTCTGTCCAAGACCTTTGATAAATTTTGCAAGTGTTGTTACAAGATCAGCTTTCAAGCCATAACTTTGAAACTTCTCATTACTTATTTTAAGAAAAGCAAAACCTAAAATTTTCTTTTTGCAAAAAATTTTAATATCATTCTCATCAAGTTTTAAGTTTTTTCTCCCTAAATATTCGATAAGTTCCTTTGTATTAAAGTTTTTAACTATATTTGACATTATTCTAGTGAAAATTTCTTCTATTATTAAGGTGGGTAAAGCAGATAAAGATGCTTGTAAAGACATAATTTTATATATGTGAGTTTATGCTTGTGAAAAAATATATACTTGACTGCAATTACAGGTAAAGCTGGTTTATGAATATAAAAATATTTTTAGTTTCTGACGCTTAGAGAGAAATAATAGATTTTTTGTATCAATTTATAATGCATTTGCCCAATATATATGCAATTAATATGTAATATAAGATTATCAGACAATTATATTATATCATTACACATGATATTTTCAAGATTTACGACAAGAACATAATATATGCTTTATTTAAAAAATAAAAAAACGTTGCCAGAACTCAACTTACAATACATAAAAATTGTGACTATATTGCTATTACATTCCATTATTGGGGTGTTTTAATATTTAAATTAATTATAATATGAATATCTTTTTCAGAAGGTTACTTGGGAAAATGATCAAGAATATTAAGCATTGGAATCAGCACTTGTTCTTCATCCTGTTTCTCACTATTTACACTTATCATCACTTTTTCAGTATTAACCAATACTAGCGCTTTATCTAAATTTAAGGAAATTGCATAGACTTCAAATTCAGTAATTAGAATATTATCAAATTAAGGAGTATTTTTTTTTAAATTTGTAATCTAAGAGAATAGATGGATTCTTTGTTATTAATTTTGATTGTAACAACATATTGTTATGTAATTCTCTCAACTAATCACTAGAAATAACAAAACAATTAAGCCTGATTTCTGATATTTTGCTTTTTCTAAATGTAAATGTCTATAGTGAATAAAGTTTCATTCGTATAGATACAATAATTCTTTGAAACATTTTTTTTCTAAAAATATATAATAAAATATATTACCTTAAAATTTTGTGGGAAAATTGACTGAACTTTTACATATCATTACATGTTTTATATCTTATTAGAAAAAAGTTAAAAAGATATAAGTTATGATTAACAATGTTTTATAATGTCAAGAGTTTCATAAAAACGCATGAGAATGAAATTTTCAAACCTTTTCATATATAGATCTATTCAGTAAGATCATAGTTAGTTTTATGCTTAATAATCTCAGAATTGCGAAATTCTTAGCCTTTTACAACATATGCTTTTATCGTTACTATTTACTTTTAGAGTTAGTTCTGTATTGCAAGTAAATGCTTATTTTCAT